CTCTATGGGTCTCTGAATCTCTGTGGGTCTCTATGGGTAGCTGTGAATCTTTGTGGGTCTCTATGGGTCTCTGGATCTCCGTGGGTCTCTATGGGTATCTGTGAGTCTTTGTGGGTCTCTATGGGTCTCTGAATCTCTGTGGGTCTCTATGGGTAACTGTGGGTCTCTATAGGTAGCTGTGGATCTTTGTGGGTCTCTATGGGTCTCTGGATCTCCGTCAGTCTCTGGATCTCTGTGGGTCTCTATGGGTATCTGTGAGTCATTGTGGGTCTCTGTGGGTCTCAATGGGTACCTGTGAGTCTTTGTGGGTCTCTATGCGTCTCTCGATCTCCATCAGTCTCTGGATCTCTGTGGGTCTCTATGGGTATCTGTGAGTCTTTGTGGGTCTCTATGGGTCTCTGGATCTTCGTCAGTCTCTGGGTCTCTATGGGTCTCTATGGGTCTCTGTGAGTCTTTGTGGGTCTCTATGGGTCTCTGGATCTCCGTCAGTCTCTGGATTTCTGTGGGTCTCTATGGGTATCTGTGAGTCTTTGTGGGTCTCTATGGGTCTCTGAATCCCTGTGGGTCTCTATGGGTAGCTGTGGGTCTCTATAGGTAGCTGTGGATCTTTGTGGGTCTCTATGGGTCTCTGGATCTCCGTCAGTCTCTGGATCTCTGTGGGTCTCTATGGGTATCTGTGAGTCTTTGTGGGTCTCTATGGGTCTCTGGATCTCCGTCAGTCTCTGGATCTCTATGGGTCTCTATGGGTATCTGTGAGTCTTTGTGGGTCTCTGTGGGTCTCTGAATCTCTGTGGGTCTCTATGGGTCTCTGGATCTCCGTCAGTCTCTGGATCTCTGTGGGTCTCTATGGGTATCTGTGAGTCTTTGTGGGTCTCTATGGGTCTCTGAATCTCTGTGGGTCTCTATGGGTAGCTGTGGGTCTCTATAGGTAGCTGTGGATCTTTGTGGGTCTCTATGGGTCTCTGGATCTCCGTCAGTCTCTGGATCTCTGTGGGTCTCTATGGGTATCTGTGAGTCATTGTGGGTCTCTATGCGTCTCTGGATCTTCGTCAGTCTCTGGGTCTCTATGGGTCTCTATGGGTCTCTGTGAGTCATTGTGGGTCTCTATGGGTCTCTGGATCTCCGTCAGTCTCTGGATTTCTGTGGGTCTCTATGAGTATCTGTGAGTCTTTGTGGGTCTCTATGGGTCTCTGAATCTCTGTGGGTCTCTATGGGTAGCTGTGAATCTTTGTGGGTCTCTATGGGTATCTGGATCTCCGTGGGTCTCTATGGGTATCTGTGAGTCTTTGTGGGTCTCTATGGGTCTCTGAATCTCTGTGGGTCTCTATGGGTAGCTGTGGGTCTCTATAGGTAGCTGTGGATCTTTGTGGGTCTCTATGGGTATCTGGATCTCTGTGGGTCTCTATGGGTATTTGTGAGTCATTGTGGGTCTATGGGTCTCTGGATCTCCGTGGGTCTCTATGGGTATCTGTGAGTCTTTGTGGGTGTCTATGGGTCTCTGGATCTCCATTAGTCTCTATGGGTATCTGTGAGTCATTGTGGGTCTCTATGGGTCTCTAGATCTCTGTGGGTCTCTATAGGTATCTGTGAGTCTTCGTGGGTCTCTATGGGTCTCTGGATCTCTGTGGGTCTCTATGGGTCTCTATGGGTCTCTGTCAGTCTCTGGATCTCTGTGGGTCTCTATGGGTATCTGTGAGTCATTGTGGGTCTATGAGTCTCTGGACCTCTGTGGGTCTCTATGGGTATCTGTGAGTCTTCGTGGGTCTCTATGGGTCTCTGGATCTGTGGGTCTCTATGGGTATCTGTGAGTTTTTGTGGGTCTCTATGGGTCTCTGGATCTCTGTGGGTCTCTATGGGTCTCTGTGAGTCTTTGTGGGTCTCTATGGGTCTCTGTGGGTCCCTAGGGTATCTGTGAATCTTTGTGGGTCTCTATGGGTCTCTGTCAGTCTCTGGATCTCTGTGGGTCTCTATGAGTATCTGTGAGTCTTTGTGGGTCTATGAGTTTCTGGACCTCTGTGGGTCTCTATGGGTATCTGTGAGTCTTTGTGGGAATCTATGGGTCTCTGGATCTCTGTGGGTCTCTATAGGTAGCTGTGAGTCTTTGTGGGTCTCTGTCAGTCTCTGGATCTCTGTGGGTCTCTATAGGTCTCTATGGGTCTCTGGTTTTAGGAGTATTGGATCTCTGTGGGTCTCTATGGGTCTCTGTGGTTTTAAGAGTATTGGATCTCTGTGGGTCTCTATGGGTCTCTGTGGTTTTAAGAGTATTGGATCTCTGTGGGTCTCTATGGGTATCTGTGGGTCTTTATGAGTCTCTATGGGTCTCTGGATCCCTGTGTGGCTCTAAGGGCCACTAATATAGCAGCCCAGTGGGGCTATACACCTGGTGACAACAACAATAACAACAATGACAACAACAATAACAATAACAACAATCACAACAACAACAATCACAACAACAACAACTGAGCAATGCGTTTTGCCGTTGTAACGCGCTGACCCTCGTTGCCCTGACTTGGACATCTGGGTGAAGTGAGACAAATAAAATAGATAGCAGCCCCGTGATTCTTGGGATTGCACAAGTAGAGTTGAGTGGCTTGTAGGTTGTGTGGGTTGTGTGGGTTGTGGGTTGTGTGGGTTGTGTGGGTTGTGTGGGTTGTGGGTTGTGTGGGTTGTGGGTTGTGTGGGTTGTGGGTTGTGTGGGTTGTGTGGGTTGTGGGTTGTGTGGGTTGTGTGGGTTGTGTGGGTTGTGTGGCTTGTGTGGGTTGTGTGGGTTGTGGGTTGTGTGGGTTGTGTGGGTTGTGTGTGTTGTGGATTGTGGATTGTGTGGGTTGTGGATTGTATGGGTTGTGTGGGTTGTGTGGGTTGTGTGGGTTAAGTGGCTTGTGGGTTGTGTGGGTTGTGTGGGTTGTGGGTTATGTGGGTTGTGTGGGTTGTGTGGGTTGTGTGGGTTGTGGGTTGTGTGGGTTGTGTGGGTTGTGGGTTGTGTGGGTTGTGTGGGTTGAGTGGCTTGTGGGTTGTGTGGGTTGTGTAGGTTGTGTGGCTTGTGTGGGTTGTGGGTTGTGTGGGTTGTGTGGGTTGTGGGTTGTGTGGGTTGTAGGTTGTGTGGGTTGTGTGGGTTGTGGGTTGTGTGGGTTGTGTGGGTTGTAGGTTGTGTGGGTTGTGTGGGTTGTGTGGGTTGTGGGTTGTGTGTGTTGTGTGGGTTGTGTGGGTTGTGGGTTGTGTGGGTTGTAGGTTGTGTGGGTTGTGTGGGTTGTGTGGGTTGTGGGTTGTGTGGGTTGTGTGGGTTGTGTGGGTTGTGTGGGTTGAGTGGCTTGTGTGGGTTGTAGGTTGTGTGGGTTGTGTGGGTTGTGTAGGTTGTGTGGCTTGTGTGGCTTGTGTGGGTTGTGGGTTGTGTGGGTTGTGGGTTGTGTGGGTTGTAGGTTGTGTGGGTTGTGTGGGTTGTGTGGGTTGTGGGTTGTGTGGGTTGTGGGGTGTGTGGGTTGTGTGGGTTGTGGGTTGTGTGGGTTGTGTGGGTTGTGGGTTGTGTGTGTTGTGTGGGTTGTGTGGGTTGTGTGGGTTGTAGGTTGTGTGGGTTGTGTGGGTTGTGTGGGTTGTAGGTTGTGTGGGTTGTGTGGGTTGTGTGTTGTGTGGGTTGTGTGGGCTGTGTGGGTTGTGTGGGTTGTGTGGGTTGTAGGTTGTGTGGGTTGTGTGGGTTGTGTAGGTTGTGTGGCTTGTGTGGGTTGTGGGTTGTGTGGGTTGTGTGGGTTGTGTGGATTGTAGGTTGTGTGGGTTGTGTGGGTTGTGTGGGTTGTGTAGGTTGTGGGTTGTGTGGGTTGTGGGTTGTGTGGGTTGTGGGTTGTGGGTTGCGTGGGTTGTGTGAGTTGTGGGTTGTGTGGGTTGTGTGGGTTGTGGGTTGTGTGGGTTGTGTTGTGTGGGTTGTGTGGGTTGTGGGTTGTGTGTGTTGTGTGGGTTGTGGGTTGTGTGGGTTGTAGGTTGTGTGGGTTGTGTGGGTTGTGTGGGTTGTGTGGGTTGTAGGTTGTGTGGGTTGTGTGGGTTGTGTGGGTTGTGTGTTGTGTGGGTTGTGGGTTGTGTGGGTTGTGTGGGTTGTAGGTTGTGTGGGTTGTGTGGGTTGTGTAGGTTGTGTGGCTTGTGTGGGTTGTGGGTTGTGGGTTGTGTGGGTTGTGTGGGTTGTGTGGGTTGTAGGTTGTGTGGGTTGTGTGGGTTGTGTGGGTTGTGTAGGTTGTGGGTTGTGTGGGTTGTGGGTTGTGTGGGTTGTGGGTTGTGGGTTGCGTGGGTTGTGTGAGTTGTGGGTTGTGTGGGTTGTGTGGGTTGTGTGGATTGTGTGGGTTGTGTGGGTTGTAGGTTGTGTGGGTTGTGTGGGTTGTGTGGATTGTGTGGGTTGTGTGTTGTGTGGGTTGTGTGGGTTTTGTTGGTTGTGTGGATTGTGTGGGTTGTGTGAGTTGTGGGTTGTGTGGGTTGTGTGTTGTGTGAGTTGTGTGGGTTGTGTGGGTTGTGGGTTGTGTGTGTTGTGTGGGTTGTGTAGGTTGTGTGGATTGTGTGGGTTGTGTAGGTTGTGTGGATTGTGTGGGTTGTGGGTTGTGTTGTGTGGGTTGTGTGGGTTGTGTGGGTTGTGTGGTTGTGGGTTGTGTGGTTGTGGGTTGTGTGGGTTGTGGGTTGTGTGTCTTGTGGGTTGTGTGGTTGTGGGTTGTGTGGTTGTGGGTTGTGTGGGTTGTGTGGGTTGTGTGGGTTGTGGGTTGTGTGTGTTGAGTGGGTTGTGTGGGTTGTGTGTGTTGAGTGGGTTGTGTGGGTTGTGTGGGTTGTGGGTTGAGTGGGTTGTGTGGGTTGTGTGGGTTGTGTGGGTTGTGTAGGTTGTGGGTTGTGTGGGTTGTGTGGGTTGTGTGGGTTGTGTGTTGTGTAGGTTGTGGGTTGTGTGGGTTGAGTGGGTTGTGTGGGTTGTGGGTTCAGTGGGTTGTGTGGGTTGTGTGTTGTGTAGGTTGTGGGTTGTGTGGGTTGTGGGTTACCGCAGCCGGCTGTGTCTGAGCGGTGCGCTCTCGATGAGTGGCAGCCCTGTGGCGGCCGTGGTGGTCGACCAGGTGGTGGAGCGACGCAGGGTGGACAGCAGGACACTCCGACACCTCTGTCCACACAGAGACAGAGACACACAGACACAGAGACACAGAGACACAGAGACACACAGACACAGAGACATAGACACAGAGACATAGACACAGAGACATAGACACAGAGATATAGACACAGAGACATAGACACAGAGACACAGACACAGAGACACAGACACAAACACAGAGACACAGAGACACAGACACAGAGACACAGAGACATATACACAGAGACACAGAGACACAGACACACAGAGACACAGACACAGAGACACAGAGACATAAACACAGAGACATAGACACAGAGACACAGACACAGAGACATAGACACAGAGACACAGAGACACAGACACAAACACACAGAGACAGAGAGACATAGACACATAGACACAGAGACACAGACACAGAGGCACAGACACAGAGACATAGACACAGAGATACACTGACAAACACACTGACACACAAAAGACAAAGATCCTCCGTATAGCCTTAACAGACTGTAGGGGCAAGTGCTGTCAGCGAGCACCTATGAAGGCCGGCACAGCACACGAGGGGTGGGTGGCCAGCACCACGCCCGGCCGCCTTTGTCTCCCCAGTGGCGATGCTTATCACACACACAGCACCAGGTACTCATTTGAGACTGAGTCGACCAAGGGGAGGCCCAGGACCGGTTCAGTTAATCATCACTGGTGATGTTGGCCATGAGTGAGAATCGAACCCGGGTCACCACAACCCACACAACCCACAACCCACAACCCACCCACCCACACTCACCCACCCACATTCACACACACCCACACACTCACCCACCCACACCCACCCACACCCACACCCACCCACACACACCCACCTACCCCCACCCACCCACCCACACTCACCCACCACACACACTCACCCACCCACACCCACCACATACACCCATACACTCACACTCACTCACCCACCCACTCACTCACCCACTCACACCCACTCACACACCCACACACTCACTCACCCACCCACACCCACCCACACACACCTACACACCCACACTCACCCACCACACACACCCACACTCACCCACCCACACACACCCACACCCACCCACACACACTCACCCACACCCACCCACACACACTCACCCACACACACCCACACACACTCACCCACCACACACACTCACCCACCCACACCCACCACATACACCCACACACTCACACTCACTCACCCACCCACTCACTGACCCACACACACCCACACACCCACACACTCACCTACACACACCCACACACACCCACACACACACACTCACCCACCCACACCCACACTCACTCACTCACCCACACACTCACCCACCCACACACACCCACACACTCACTCACACACCCACACACACTCACACACTCACCCACCCACACTCACACACTCACCCACCCACACTCACTCACCCACCCACCATCCTATCGTCGCCGCTGTCGCCGCCGTCACCGCCACCGCCGTCGTCGCTGCCGTCCGCCCATCCGGCACCGCGGTGGCGCCGCTGCCGGCGGTGGCGGCGGCGCCCCCCGAGGTGGCCGTCGCGGGCGGCGCGCCCGGCCACGCCGGCGGACGCCGTCGCCGAGTGCACGGCGAGGAGCAGCGCCGCCTGGCGCAGCAGCGACGCCGGCGCCGGAGGGATCGCGGCGCCGGAGGCCGACGTTTCGGCCAGGGCCTCCTCCAGGAGCGCCCGGGCCTCGCCGACGCAGGACCAGCCGTCGGGGGGGGGGTCGCCGGGGCGGCGCCGGAGGGACGGGGGGGCCGGAGCACGCGGTGAGGGGAGCCTGGGGGGGAGAGATGCCTGGGGGGAGGGGGGGAGGGAGAGGGGGAGGGGAGCAGTGAGCGTGGTGGTGAGGAGTGGTGAGGGAGCGGTGAGTGTGATGGTGAGGGAGCAGTGAGCGTGGTGGTGAGGGAGCGGTGAGTGTGGTGGTGAGGGAGCAGTGAGTGTGATGGTGAGGGAGTGGTGAGTGTGGCGGTGAGGGAGCAGTGAGCATGGTGGTGAGGGAGCGGTGAGTGTGATGGTGAGGGAGTGGTGAGTGTGGTGGTGAGTGTGATGGTGAAAGAGTGGTGAGCGTGGCGGTGAGGGAGCAGTGAGCGTGGTGGTGAGGGAGCGGTGAGTGTGATGGTGAGGGAGTGGTGAGTGTGGTGGTGAGGGAGTGGTGGAGGAGGCCCTGGTGAGGGAGTGGTGAGTGTGGTGGTGAGTGTGGTGGTGAGGGTGATGGTGAGGGAGTGGTGAGTGTGGTGGTGAGTGCGGTGGTGAGTGTGGTGGTGAGTGTGATGGTGAGGGAGTGGTGAGTGTGGTGATGAGTGTGGTGGTGAGTGTGATGGTGAGGGAGTGGTGAGTGTGGTGGTGAGTGTGATGGTGAGGGAGTGGTGAGTGTGGTGGTGAGTGTGGTGGTGAGTGTGGTGGTGAGTGTGATGGTGAGGGAGTGGTGAGTGTGGTGGTGAGTGTGGTGGTGAGTGTGATGGTGAGGGAGTGGTGAGTGTGGTGGTGAGTGTGATGGTGAGGGAGTGGTGAGTGTGGTGGTGAGTGTGGTGGTGAGTGTGATGGTGAGGGAGTGGTGAGTGTGGTGGTGAGTGTGATGGTGAGGGAGTGGTGAGTGTGGTGGTGAGTGTGGTGGTGAGTCTGGTGGTGAGTGTGGTGGTGAGTGTAGTGGTGAGTGTGGTGGTGAGTGTGATGGTGAGGGAGTGATGAGTCTGGTGGTGAGTGTAGTGGTGAGTGTGGTGGTGAGTGTGGTGGTGAGTGTGGTGGTGAGGGAGTGGTGAGTGTGGTGGTGAGTGTGGTGGTGAGTGTAGTGGTGAGTGTGGTGGTGAGTGTGGTGGTGAGTGTGATGGTGAGAGAGTGGTGAGTGTGGTGGTGAGTGTAGTGGTGAGTGTGGTGGTGAGTGTGGTGGTGAGTGTGATGGTGAGGGAGTGGTGAGTGTGGTGATGAGTGTGGTGGTGAGTGTGATGGTGAGGGAGTGTTGAGTGTGGTGGTGAGTGTGATGGTGAGGGAGTGGTGAGTGTGGCGGTGAGTGTGGTGGTGAGTGTGATGGTGAGGGAGTGGTGAGTGTGGTGGTGAGTGTGATGGTGAGGGAGTGGTGAGTGTGGTGGTGAGTGTGGTGGTGAGTGTGATGGTGAGGGAATGGTTAGTGTGGTGGTGAGTGTGGTGGTGAGTGTGGTGGTGAGTCTGGTGGTGAGTGTGGTGGTGAGTCTGGTGGTGAGTGTGGTGGTGAGTGTAGTGGTGAGTGTGGTGGTGAGTGTGATGGTGAGGGAGTGATGAGTCTGGTGGTGAGTGTAGTGGTGAGTGTGGTGGTGAGTGTGGTGGTGAGTGTGGTGGTGAGGGAGCGGTGAGTGTGGTGGTGAGGGAGCAGTGAGTGTGATGGTGAGGGAGTGGTGAGTGTGGCGATGAGGGAGCAGTGAGCATGGTGGTGAGGGAGCGGTGAGTGTAATGGTGAGGGAGTGGTGAGTGTGGTGGTGAGTGTGATGGTGAAAGAGTGGTGAGCGTGGCGGTGAGGGAGCAGTGAGCGTGGTGGTGAGGGAGCGGTGAGTGTGATGGTGAGGGAGTGGTGAGTGTGGTGGTGAGGGAGCGGTGGAGGAGGCCCTGGTGAGGGAGTGGTGAGTGTGGTGGTGAGTGTGGTGGTGAGGGTGATGGTGAGGGAGTGGTGAGTGTGGTGGTGAGTGCGGTGGTGAGTGTGGTGGTGAGTGTGATGGTGAGGGAGTGGTGAGTGTGGTGATGAGTGTGGTGGTGAGTGTGATGGTGAGGGAGTGGTGAGTGTGGTGGTGAGTGTGATGGTGAGGGAGTGGTGAGTGTGGTGGTGAGTGTGGTGGTGAGTGTGGTGGTGAGTGTGATGGTGAGGGAGTGGTGAGTGTGGTGATGAGTGTGGTGGTGAGTGTGATGGTGAGGGAGTGGTGAGTGTGGTGGTGAGTGTGATGGTGAGGGAGTGGTGAGTGTGGTGGTGAGTGTGGTGGTGAGTGTGATGGTGAGGGAGTGGTGAGTGTGGTGGTGAGTGTGATGGTGAGGGAGTGGTGAGTGTGGTGGTGAGTGTGGTGGTGAGTCTGGTGGTGAGTGTGGTGGTGAGTGTAGTGGTGAGTGTGGTGGTGAGTGTGATGGTGAGGGAGTGATGAGTCTGGTGGTGAGTGTAGTGGTGAGTGTGGTGGTGAGTGTGGTGATGAGTGTGGTGGTGAGGGAGTGGTGAGTGTGGTGGTGAGTGTGGTGGTGAGTGTAGTGGTGAGTGTGGTGGTGAGTGTGGTGGTGAGTGTGATGGTGAGAGAGTGGTGAGTGTGGTGGTGAGTGTAGTGGTGAGTGTGGTGGTGAGTGTGGTGGTGAGTGTGATGGTGAGGGAGTGGTGAGTGTGGTGATGAGTGTGGTGGTGAGTGTGATGGTGAGGGAGTGTTGAGTGTGGTGGTGAGTGTGATGGTGAGGGAGTGGTGAGTGTGGCGGTGAGTGTGGTGGTGAGTGTGATGGTGAGGGAGTGGTGAGTGTGGTGGTGAGTGTGATGGTGAGGGAGTGGTGAGTGTGGTGGTGAGTGTGGTGGTGAGTGTGATGGTGAGGGAATGGTTAGTGTGGTGGTGAGTGTGGTGGTGAGTGTGGTGGTGAGTCTGGTGGTGAGTGTGGTGGTGAGTCTGGTGGTGAGTGTGTTGGTGAGTGTAGTGGTGAGTGTGGTGGTGAGTGTGATGGTGAGGGAGTGATGAGTCTGGTGGTGAGTGTAGTGGTGAGTGTGGTGGTGAGTGTGGTGGTGAGTGTGGTGGTGAGGGAGTGGTGAGTGTGGTGGTGAGTGTGGTGGTGAGTGTGGTGGTGAGTGTAGTGGTGAGTGTGGTGGTGAGTGTGATGGTGAGTCTGGTGGTGAGTGTGGTGGTGAGTGTGGTGGTACCTGTGAATGTCGTCGCGGAGAGAAGCAGCCCCAGTCGCCGTGAACCCCCCCCACCTAAACGGCGGACACACAAAGACAAAGGTCACCACACCACCGTATAGCCTCGACGGACAGCACGGGCAAGTGTAACACACCTGTGCAGTGGCATAACAAAGACAAAGGTCCCCCGTGCAGCCTGTGACAGACTGTCGGGGCAAGAGCAGTTAGCGAGTAGCAGCACCTATGAAGGCCGGCACGGCACACCGGGGGGGGTGGGTGGCCGCGCCCAGCCTCCTTTGTCTCTCCCCCAGTGGCAATGTTTACCACACACACAGCACCAGGTAGTCATTTGAGGCTGAGTCAACCTAGGGGAGGCCCAGGGACCGGTTCAGATAATCGTGAGCGGGAATTGAACTTGGGTCGCCAGGTTCATGGCGCAGCATAGCGCTGAAGTCTCCACTACAGCTCCCCACACACACACACGTCAACAACATCAACAACAACATCAACAACCGCCATTCGCCACTAAGTGGTGGTGATGTCACCACGACGCTTGTGCCAGGCCATGTGCACCTTGAGGCCACGTGAAGTGTCGAACGCCCGCTGACAGGAGGTCACGGGGCAGACCCAGGTGCCACGGGTCGACTGACTAAGATGACTGGCTGATGCACCACCTGTGCCCCCTACTGTGCCATTTTGCTGTGCTTTAGCCACCCGGCGCTCCGTTCGTTGTTGTGAGCATCGCTCCTCCGCCCTCCGTTGTTGTTGGAGGGCGACTGCCTCCAACTGCCCAGTAGCAGCGTCCTTCACGAGCCTCCTCCACAGAGGCCGATGTTGACACCGCTGGTACCAGTCATCGGCAAGACCACTCAGCTCCACGTCCTCCTGTACCACATCACTCCATCTCTTCTCTAGCCCGTGCCTCCTGTACCACATCACTCCGTCTCTTCTCTAGCCCGTGCCGCGCCCGTTTAACCCCCTCGATCCGGCCTGAACAAAAGCTGTTTCGGCATGCAGTGGCTGGGCATGCGGGCTACATGACCCAGCCAACGCAGCCTTGCCTGCCGGTGGAGCTCACCTATGGGACTTTGCCCAGATCTTTCGAGGATTTGTGAGCTCCTCACACAATCCAGCCTGGTTAAATCCAGGATGGATCGTAGGCAGGCCAGCCTAAAAGTTTCTAACCGGCGAAGATGTTCCATTAGGGGGGTCCACGTTTCACAAGCGTAGAGAAGGAAGGGAATGACCGTGGCCGAGAAGACCTGAAGCTTAGTGCGGAGCGACAGACCAGGTAGCTTCCACCCAGCGTTACGCAACCGATGAAAAGATATTGCCGCTCGACTGATTCGGAGTGAGACCTCCGCTGTTAAACCGGAGCCGGTCATAAGCACACTGCCCAGGTATGGGAAACTCTCCACTCTCTCCACAACTGCCCCATCACTGATTGGGCGTTGTGGGGGTGGAGTGTCCGATGGTACAAAATACCCAGGCAGGTGCTTAGTTTTGGTGGGGCTGATGGTAAGGCCCCACCTCTTAGTAGCAAGCTCCAGGTTTCGCAGAAGCGCCTCCAACTCCTCCTCTAAGTGAGCAGCGATTACCGGATCATTAGCATACATAACGTGGTTGACCAATAGGGAGCCATCCCTTGACCGCACACGGGCATCGATCAGTCTCCCATTGTATCTGTACCACACACGTACACACTCACACAACCGCCATTCACCACTAAGTGGCAGTGACGCAACCACGACGCCTGTGCCAGGCTAAGTGCACCGTGAGGTGTGGAACACTCGCTGGCACGAGGTCACAGGGCAGACCCAGCAGGTGCCACGGTTTAGCTGACTGAGATGACCAGTAGATGCACCAGCTGTGAGTCTATTGGTCTCTGTGTGAGTCTATGGGTCTCTGTGTGAGTCTATGGGTCTCTGTGTGAGTCTATGAGTCTCCGTGTGAGTCTATGGGTTTCCGGGTGAGTCTATGGGTCTCTGTGCAAGTCTATGCATCTCTGTGTGAGTCTATGGATCTCTGTGTGAATCTATGGGTCTTTGTGTGAGTCTATGGGTCTCTGTGTGAGTCTCTGTGTGAGTCTAGGGTCTGTTTGTGGGCCTCTGTGTGAGTCTATGGGTCTCTGTATGAATCTATGGGTCTTCGTGTGAGTCTATGGGTCTCTGTGTGAGTCTATGGTTCTCTGTGCGAGTCTATAGGTCTCTGTGCGAGTCTATGGGTCTCTGTGTGAGTCTATGGGTCTTTGTGTGAGTCTATGGGTCTCTGTGTGAGTCTATGGGTCTCTGTGTGAGTCTATGGGTCTCCGTGTGAGTCTATGGGTCTTTGTGTGAGTCTATGGGTCTCTGTGTGAGTCTATGGGTCTTTGTGCGAGTCTATGGGTCTCTGTGTGAGTCTATGGGTCTATGTGTGCGTCTATGGGTCTACGAGTGAGTCTATGGGTCTCTGTGTGAGTCTCCGTGTGAGTCTATGGGTCTCCGTGTGAGTCTATGGGTCTCTGTGTGAGTCTATGGGTCTCTGTGTGAGTCTCCGTGTCTCCGTGTGAGACTGTGGGTCTCTGTGAGAGTCTATTGGTCTCTATCTGAGTCTCTGTGTGAGTCTATGGGTCACCGTGCGAGTCTATGGGTCTCCGTGTGAGTCTATGGATCTCTGTGTGAATCTATGGGTCTCTGTGTGAGTCTATGGGTCTTTGTGTGAGTCTATGGGTCTCTGTGTGAGCCTATGGGTCTTTGTGCGAGTCTATGGGTCTCTGTGTGAGTCTATGGGTCTCTGTGTGCATCTATGGGTCTACGAGTGAGTCTATGGGTCTCTGTGTGAGTCTCCGTATGAGTCTATGGGTCTCCGTGTAAGTCTATGGGTCTCTGTGTGAGTCTCCGTGTCTCCGTGTGAGACTGTGGGTCTCTGTGAGAGTCTATTGGTCTCTATCTAAGTCTCTGTGTGAGTCTATGGGTCACCGTGCGAGTCTATGGGTCTCCGTGTGAGTCTATGGATCTCTGTGTGAATCTATGGGTCTCTGTGAGTTTATGGGTCTCTGTATGAATCTATGGGTCTTCGTGTGAGTCAATGGGTCTCTGTGTGAGTCTATGGTTCTCTGTGTGAGCCTATGGGTCTTTGTGCGAGTCTATGGGTCTCTGTGTGAGTCTATGGGTCTTTGTGTGAGTCTATGGGTCTCTGTGTGAGTCTATGGGTCTTTGTGTGAGTCTATGGGTCTCTGTGTGAGCCTATGGGTCTTTGTGCGAGTCTATGGGTCTCTGTGTGAGTCTATGGGTCTCTGTGTGCATCTATGGCTCTACGAGTGAGTCTATGGGTCTCTGTGTGAGTCTCCGTATGAGTCTATGGGTCTCCGTGTAAGTCTATGGGTCTCTGTGTGAGTCTCCGTGTCTCCGTGTGAGACTGTGGGTCTCTGTGAGAGTCTATTGGTCTCTATCTGAGTCTCTGTGTGAGTCTATGGGTCACCGTGCCAGTCTATGGGTCTCCGTGTGAGTCTATGGATCTCTGTGTGAATCTATGGGTCTCTGTGAGTTTATGGGTCTCTGTATGAATCTATGGGTCTTCGTGTGAGTCAATGGGTCTCTGTGTGAGTCTATGGTTCTCTGTGTGAGCCTATGGGTCTTTGTGCGAGTCTATGGGTCTCTGTGTGAGTCTATGGGTCTTTGTGTGAGTCTATGGGTCTCTGTGTGAGTCTATGGGTCTTTGTGTGAGTCTATGGGTCTCTGTGTGAGCCTATGGGTCTTTGTGCGAGTCTATGGGTCTCTGTGTGAGTCTATGGGTCTCTGTGTGCATCTATGGGTCTACGAGTGAGTCTATGGGTCTCTGTGTGAGTCTCCGTATGAGTCTATGGGTCTCCGTGTAAGTCTATGGGTCTCTGTGTGAGTCTCCGTATCTCCGTGTGAGACTGTGGGTCTCTGTGAGAGTCTATTGGTCTCTATCTGAGTCTCTGTGTGAGTCTATGGGTCACCGTGCGAGTCTATGGGTCTCCGTGTGAGTCTATGGATCTCTGTGTGAATCTATGGGTCTCTGTGAGTTTATGGGTCTCTGTGTGAGTCTCTGTGTGAGTCTAGGTTCTGTCTGTGGGCCTCTGTGAGCCTATGGGTCTCTGTATGAATCTATGGGTCTTCGTGTGAGTCAATGGGTCTCTGTGTGAGTCTATGGTTCTCTGTGTGAGCCTATGGGTCTTTGTGCGAGTCTATGGGTCTCTGTGTGAGTCTATGGGTCTTTGTGCGAGTCTATGGGTCTCTGTGTGAGTCTATGGGTCTCTGTGTGCATCTATGGGTCTACGAGTGAGTCTATGGGTCTCTGTGTGAGTCTCCGTATGAGTCTATGGGTCTCCGTGTAAGTCTATGGGTCTCTGTGTGAGTCTCCGTATCTCCGTGTGAGACTGTGGGTCTCTGTGAGAGTCTATTGGTCTCTATCTGAGTCTCTGTGTGAGTCTATGGGTCACCGTGCGAGTCTATGGGTCTCCGTGTGAGTCTATGGATCTCTGTGTGAATCTATGGGTCTCTGTGAGTTTATGGGTCTCTGTGTGAGTCTCTGTGTGAGTCTAGGTTCTGTCTGTGGGCCTCTGTGAGCCTATGGGTCTCTGTATGAATCTATGGGTCTTCGTGTGAGTCAATGGGTCTCTGTGTGAGTCTATGGTTCTCTGTGTGAGCCTATGGGTCTTTGTGCGAGTCTATGGGTCTCTGTGTGAGTCTATGGGTCTTTGTGCGAGTCTATGGGTCTCTGTGTGAGTCTATGGGTCTCTGTGTGCATCTATGGGTCTACGAGTGAGTCTATGGGTCTCTGTGTGAGTCTCCGTATGAGTCCATGGGTCTCCGTGTAAGTCTATGGGTCTCTGTGTGAGTCTATGGGTCTCCGTGTGAGTCTCCGTGTCTCCGTGTGACACTGTGGGACTCTGTGAGAGTCTATTTGTCTCTATCTGAGTCTCTGTGTGAGTCTATGGGTCTCCGTGTGAATCTATGGGTCTCCGTGTGAGTCTCCGTGTCTCCGTGTGAGTCTATGGGTCTCTGTGTGAGTCTATGGGTCTCCGTGCGAGTCTATGGGTCTCCGTGTGAGTCTCCGTGTCTCCGTGTGAG